TCCTATCCAAATCTTTTCTTCTTCTCACTCTTCCTAATTTTCTTCTTCTTCTTTGCTTCTTCTGCCGCCTTCCAGTTAATTTCCGCCGGTTCGTGAACAACACTCTTCTTCTTCTGCTGATCAGTCTTAAAAAGTAAACAAAAAATTTCAGTTTAAAATTCATTTTTCGACTCACTTCCTCAGCCCTTCCTTCATTTGGTTCCTCTGTTCCAGCCAAACTTTTACCCGTCTTTAAGATCTCAATAGCAGTATTATCATCATCCTCCAACAAATCGCTGTCCCTTTCGAGGCTCAAAAGATCCGAATTTTTGTTCACACTCGAGGAATTGGTGTTTTGAGATGAAGTTGGTTGATTATAGTATTTCTGAAAAAGAGAGGAAATTTTTGGATTTTTAAAAGAATTTACACTCACGTTCTTCCTTTGCATCCTCATTCGTGCCATGTTGCGGGCACATCTAGCATAAGCATCTTGGCGACGAGCCTCCCTCCGATCTTCTTCTTTGCGTTCCTCAATCCTCCTTCGGTTTCTCTTCTTCAAGTGGTTGTAGTAACAGTTGAAGATTGAAGTGATAAGAAGAAGGCCAATGAAGATTGAAATTGGTATTAAGTAGTGGATGTATGGAGGCGTCTGGTAGATTGTATAAGTATCCATGTGGTAGACCATAACTTTGAAGTAGCCAGAAAGTAGCGCAAGGAAGCTTGTAACAAAAAATCCCAGGCGTAGAATAAGCGCGATCTCTATATCGAGAAGTTCTCCACGAAATAAGTATTGCATGTCACTCTTTGTGTAGTCAGCGGAGACATTAAAAAGACAATAGATGCCGCCAACAAATATAAAAAAAGCAACAATGAACGTAGTCGTGGCAACGAATTTGAAGTTTCCAGAGCCAGGATCAGATGTGGTTGTTGTTTTAGGTGTTGTCGTGGTTTGAGGAGGTTTTTTCCTTGATGTTGAAGTCCTTTTAGATGTGTTGATCCTGGTCTGTGTTGGCGGTAGTGGTGACGTTGTTGTTGTTGTTGGAAGTGGATCCTTTTGTCCCAGCAAAGTGTAGTCTTTTGTATGCTGAATAGAAAAAGGAAAAATTTTGAAATTTTATAAGAATTTGAAAATCCTTACAAATTTGATAAAAAGCTCATCACACTCTGGTCCTTTAGGAAATACCCTTATATTGCTTTCGTCACCACTGTTGATTCGCGCCGATTCTTGTGGAAGCATATGGAAGACAAGCAAGTTGTTGTGATTCGATTTTGGCTCTGTCCCGTTGATTTTCCAAGTAACAGGCTCGGCTACGAACGTATTGTTAGGGAGGCAATGAGCTATTTTAGTCGATTTGGCATAGTCCATCTTCTGCCCACGAAAGTCCATTATGAAATCGCCATCCTTCGTTATAGTCAATCCGAAGGATAACTGTTTGGCTTTTGCGTCGAACTTCGTGCTGGTACTCCAAACGGCTAGAACTTCACCCACTAAAATAAAATTATCAAAATAAGGCAGACTATATTTATCCTTACTTGGATGGGCGTGAGCAAAGAATTTATCGTTACAGGTAGTCCACGCAGCTTCAAGAGAAGTCCACCTCATACACTCTGCCGACTTTCCACACTCCTCCTGATTATGACAATTTTCCTCCTTAGCATCATACAACGGTCCATTTACTTTCAACTTTGTGATGTTCTTGTCTCTTGTTGTGCTGTAGCCGAAGGGCAAACTAAAAATAAAATTTTAAGATATTATCCTCCCAAACAAATGTAAACTTACAGATTGGCACTGCTTCCATTAAAAGGCAAATCTTCTGAAGAACATTTCCCAAGGCATTTTTCAATCCCTCCTTTGTTCTCCACTCCAGTTTCCAACTTGATCATGTTGTGAAGACGCGAGAGCAAATCCACAGTGCAACCATTCTTCGCCGCTTTGCTTTCCTTTTTGTAGTGAAGCACGCTGAAAATGTCAAATTTATTTTAAAATTATTTTAGGAGTCGTACATGAAATTGTCTTCAAGAGTAACTTCACAGGCTCCAGGATGCTTCGTGTACAAACTAAGGTTGTCCTTATTGACTTCCCCGACTCGTTCTGCGAGAGTAACCATTTCACCCTTCAGCGTGTGATTGAAAAACCCAAAAGGGATTTCACGATCATCACTTTTGGTCGGTTCGGGAAGCTTAGTCGTGGTTGCCGTTGTTGTTGTTAATGGAGCGATGAAGTCTTCATTGGTCAACAAAATGTAGTTATCCATATGCTAAATAGAAAAGGGAAAGTTTGAGATTTTATAGGTGATGATCCTTACAAATTTGATAGAAAGTTCATCACACTTTGGACCATCAGGAAGATCATCTTTTTTGATTTGCCCATCATTGTATTTTCGTGATGCTTTTTGTGGAAGCATGTGGAAGACCAGCAAGTTCGCATAATTCGAATTCGGTAGAGTGCCGTTGATTTCCCATGTAACAGGTTCGGCAATGCCTTTTCCTTCAGGAATGCAGACAGCGTGATTCTCTGACTCGAAATAGTTCATCATCTGTTTTCCATCAAAGTCCATTATGAAATTGCCATCTTTTGTGATATTCAAATTGAAAAACAATTCTGTCTCATTTTGGTCGTACATCTTGTGTCGCCTCCAAAGTGCCCGAACTTCACCAACTAAAAAAAATTATCAAAACATTCTATAAAAAATAGTTCAACATACTTGGATGGGTGTGAGCAAGGATATTATTTTTGCATTTGGTCCACGCAACCTCAAGAGAAGTCCACGGCATACATCTTCCACCACTGTTTTGGCACTCCCATTCGTCAGAACATGTCACATTTTCTTTATAAATTGGTCCATTTGTTAATTCCATGATGTTCTTATCTTCTGTTGTGCTGTAGGCGAAAGGCAAACTAAAATATATTTAATAGATTATCACCCTAATCAACTGAAAACTTACAGATTGTCACTACTTCCGTCAAAAAAATTTGATCCTTTACATTTCCCCAGGCATTTTTCAATCACATCGCTGTGCTTCACTTCGGTCGTGAAATAAATCATGTTCTGAAGGTTGGTGAGCAAGTCCACTTTGCAACCATTCCTCGCCGCGATGCTTTCCTTTTTGTAGTGGAGCACGCTGAAAACGTCAAATTTATTTTAAGACTATTCTCAAGGAAACTCACATGAAATTGCCTTCAAAAGTAACTTCACAAGCTCCAGAATGATTCGTGAACAATTTATGATTGGTCTTTTTGACTTCCACGGTTCCCTCAGAAAGTGTAACCATTCCATCTTTCAGCGTGTGATTGAAAAACCCAACAGGGATTCCATCACCACCACCATCATCACCCTTAACCTGCCCGAGAAGAAACAAAAAAACCAAAGAAGCAAAGAGAGTTGGCAAAATGTTGGTAGTCGACGAGCGCAGAAATGAAGAAGACTTTCTTGTTCTCGAACCGTCTTTAAACTCTTCTTGTCGAATTAAATAAAAGAACATTTTGTTTGCTGTTGTTTTGATGTTGCTTTGAACGTTGTTTAAATAATTGCTTTGAAAAAATATTTTTGTTGAAAGGTGAAGAGTGAAGAAAACAAAGCCTTTTATAGTATTTTAAGGTTGGCTTTTATAGTGAACTTTTTTTTCGAACAGAAACTTGTCCCGACTTTCGGTCACAACAAAGTCTTTGTGAAATAAAATGCGCTGATTACAAATATCACTATGAGAGTACTCAAAACGGCAATCCAGGAGAATTGGGGTTTCTTCGAAAAAAAAGTTTAAAAATAAGAAAAAGGATTTTTCTAGGGTAAAAAAATATGCTGATTACGAATCTGAACTCGGATTTTGAAAAAGTCGAATCCCGAACCCGAACCGAATTTCGGACCCTGAACCCGGATTTCGAATAAGCAAATGATAGCTCGTTCAAAAGAGCTCGTCGAGCTGCATCGAATGACACCAAAATCAACGCGATCGGACCTGTTTCGACAAAGTTATTACATAAAGTATACCTATGGTAGTACTGTAGGAGTCGGCGACTTATGTCATAACTTTGTCAAAACTTGATGAATCACTGTAATTTTTGTGTCATTCGACTCAGCTCGACGAGCTCTTTCGAATGAGGCATCATATGTATAAACTTTTTTTACTCCAAAAAATCACCCCTATGATTTTTTAATATTCCGGCGTCTGTATCTCGGTCCAGCCACGTCGGATTTCATCGATTTTGGTGTCATTCGATGCATCTCGATGAGTTCTACCAGCATATGAAAGACTGACCATTTTGTACAATGTCCAACAATGTCCGGAGTCAAATTCCGAATTCGGGTTCGGGATTCGACTTTTTCAAAATCCGAGTTCAGATTCGTAATTAGCGTATTTTTTTACCCTAGAAAAACCCTTTTTCTTATTTTTTAACTTCTTATTCGAAGAAACCCCAATTCTCCTGGATTGCCCTCAAAACGGTATACTTTAACCTTTTTTTCCTTATTTTCAGCCGATGAGAAGCCAAAACAATACGGGAGGGGGCGGGTAATTTTACGGAAGAGGGGTGATTTTTGGGTCAAGAATTCATACATGTAGGTGTAAACGATACAGAAGAGGCAAATCTCTACTAACTTTGTGGATATATGAAAGAAAGCGAATTGTGAGTAGTGTAAAGCCAGCTATTTGATTCCTAAAGGCTGTGCAGTAGACGGCGTGGTGTAATGAATAACACATCAGCCCGGTCTACTGAAGATGCTGGTTCGTTCCCAGCCGCCGAATAACCTTCTGTACTAGCCGAAGGAGAGAAACAGCTATAGCCCGGCTGCTTTACTGAAGGGAGGCAGGCTTAGCTGGATTCCACGTATCATTTGAAATGACAGCACCAAAGTTGGGTATGGCTACAGAGCCGGCTCCGGCCCAGTTGAGATTGAATATTATAATTTTGAGAGTACCCTAAAACTAAATTAAAATAAAAAAGATTTTTCTTCAAAACAAAAAATTTTTATTTTCCATTCACACAAAAAAATTTCTCTTACAATACAAAAAAAAATAATTTTTCAAAAAAATCGTGGAGGGGGAAAACGTTGAAAATTTGGACGTTGTTGTTGTGATTGTTTTATAGAATGTAGACTTGGTTGTTGAGGATAAAAACCTCCTCTAGGCCGAGTAAATTGTGGAGGAGGAAGTGTTTGATGATGATAAAATTGTGGGGGAGGAGGAAGTGGTGGACGGATTAAATGATTTTGTTGTTGTTGTGGTAAATAATTAAAATGTTGTGGGGGAGGTGGACCTCCTCCTGATTGTTCATTATTTAAATATTGTTGTTGTTGCTGTAAGTCTTCATCTTCTTCTTGTTCATAATCTTCAAATGTTTCTTGACCGCCACTGGGCCGGGCAACTGAAATAAAAAATTTTTACTACCTCCTCTCAATAGTTATTTTTATAATTGGAAGGCTTATAGACCAGGGGTGGGACACTTTTTCGACCCAAACTCCAATCTGACTTTTTTCTTAACCCATCCCATCACTGGTTTTCTAACACTTCCCCTTGTTAAAGCAAGGGAGCCACCTAGTATGAGTAAATTCAAAAAAATAATTATGGCTTACAAGGGAACCTTTCGAACTGTAAATCAAAATGCTGTACTTTTTTGATATCAATAGATAAAGCAGCATCGATTTACTCTAGAAAATTTTCGTTTTTTTGGCTAGGAATATGAAACTAAAAAGTTATGGGGCCTGAAAGTTTGGCGGTAGGTGTCTGTTAATCAAAATTAAAAAAATAAATGTGACTTAAGAAATTCTTAAAAAAATATGTATTTTTAAATTATTTTTTTAAGATTATCCCCTTGTAATTTACTCATAAATTCAAAAAAATATTCCCCTCACCCATCCACATTCTCTCAAATTGTCTTTGATTTCTTTTTGGTTGTTGTCTCCCCCCAAATTGCCCTCCTCCTTGTTTTTTATTTTGATCAAAAGTTGAAGAATTTGTAGGCCCTCCAAGTCCAGGAAGGGAAGTTGCTGCAAGTATTGTACCAAAATCTTTATTCATTTCTCTACGCATTGGTTCATCAATTCCCAAACCTTTTTTTAAAAGGAAAATAAAATTAATTTTAAATTTAAAATAAAACTTTTCCCCTAAAGAAATTCGTTCCCTTTCCTCTTTTTCTAGAATAAAATCCACTTTACTTAATTTCTGAGGTAGTGGTATTTTCCTTTTTTCGTATATTCAACCTCCCGAAAACCGAAACTTTGAACGGCCATAACTCGGCCAAAAGTGATTTTGCAGGAGAACGGATATCACTTCACAATAGAAAGTTGGGGGTCCTTTATCGAATGGTATCAAAAAATAATCAAATACGCATTTACAGAAAAGATAGTTCCTTGTTAGATTTAAACAAAGGGGTGAAGGGTTCGAACCCTTCCCAAGAAAAAATTTTTTCTCCTTTGGTTCTTTGAATTTTTTTTAAATTTTGTTTATCAAATTAGCCTCAAATAAATTTTAGAAATACAAATTTCCAAAAAATTAAAAAAGAACCAGGTATTTGTGGTGGAGCATTTAAATCTTCCTCTGCTGTAATTGGAATAGGTTCTCTTTCATCATCAAAATTGTGAACAGATGAAGAGCTGAACAAACCTCCAACCTTTTAAAACAAAAATAATTTTAAAAATTAAAAATTTTTAAAAAACTGTGGTCATTCCAAAAACATCTTCTTGAGTATCTCCTGGACGATTACGAGTCCAAAATTTGGTGTTGTTATCGTTTGATCCTTTAAAATTGAAAAAAAAATTTTATTTTTTAATGAAAAAAGAGAATTTTTATGAAAAAATAGCTCCTTCAATAAGTGAAAAACGTTTCAGCCCCGAGCAGGCATCGATCTAGCTCACCACGACAGAAAACAAACAAGACTGATATGAGGTAACGGAAAAAAATAAATCAAGGAGAAATTCCCATCCAAATCAGGGCTGCACGCAATTGCAAATTAAAAAAAAATTGGAGTTGCGGAAATTTTTTCCAATTGCGTGCAGCCCTGATCCAAATCTCTAGTTTCCACTAAAGACACGTTTCATAAACCGAACGAATATTGCCTAATGCAAGTCCTCCTATAAAAATTAGTCCTTTCCCCTTCCATAAAAAATAAACCAGAGTTGTTGGCGACCGGTTAATTATCGCCTGTAGCAGCCCAAATGGGGAATTTAAGATGCCACAGACAAAATTTAACCGGTCACCAACAACTTCAGTTCAAAAAAATTTTTTTCCCTAAATTTACCAGTAGCCAAAATATGTCCCATAGGATGCCATTCCAACGTCCAAATAGCCATATCATGTGCCTGTTCCAACAAAGCCAATTCTTTATCATTATTGACCAGCCAATAACCTAGAGCACCGTCACCCCCTCCACTGACAAATAAACCTTCATGGACAGGATGCCAGGCGAGGGCTAGAAGAAAAAAATTTTTATGAGAAAAAAAATTTTTCAAAAAAACCTGTAACTTCCTTTTTATGCCCTCTAAAGGTTTGTACTTCTCTCATCATTCTAACATCATAAAGTTTAATTACGTGATCTCTTGAACCGGTTAATAGCCAATTTCCATTTTTATTCCATTGAACAGCCATTACAGAGTTTTTGTGATCATGTCTGAAAATTGGGAAAATTATTAGAAATTTTGGAAAGTGGATTATTCAACGTCAAAAGAAACGAAAACACCCAAAAAATGCATTTAAAAAATTCTAAACCTAATCAAAAGTCAAAGAAAAAAATTTTTTTAATTAGAACCAACGAAGGAAAGTCGAACCACCAAGGAAACCGACGCAGGGGGTCGAACCGGCCCCCCACCCCAAGAAAGTTCAAAAACGAAACCACTACACCAAGAAAGCCAGTGTCAAGAAATTAAAAAAGGCATGAAAAAGAATTAAATATGGCCCTCAACTTCAAATATTAAACACAAATACACAGAAAAAAAAACAAACAGAAAAACACACAATTTTATTATTTTAAAAATAAAAAAATTAAAGAATAAACTAACAAAGTCGCCAAGCACTGCCCAGTTTTTGCATCCCATAATTTCACCGGTTGTTGAGAATCTCTCGATCCAGTTGCAATCAAAGCCTTTGTAGGATGCCAATCGACAGAACGAACATCGGCTCCATGTCCTCTCAAAACTCTTTCTTCATTGCATCTAGCAAAATCCCAAACTCGAGCAGTTGCATCATCCGAGCCGGTAACTAATTTCACATCGGTGGGACAAAAACTGTAAGAAAAACAAAACAAAAAGGTTAATTTTTATTCAAAATAAAAAAAAATGGAAAATAATCCAAATAAATTTAAAAAAAATTTTTAAAGGCAATCCTTAAAAATAAAAAATTTTTTACTATTACTATTTTTAAACAAAAAAGGGATTTTTTTCAGAAAAATTTTTCGTCTTACTAGCATGAGGGGAAAGGGTGAAGAGGAAAATAGGGAAGGAGATCAGTAAAGCGGTGAGAAAATGGAGGAAGATAGGGAGGAAACTAGGAAAAAGTGGAGAAAACGAAAATTGTTCCTCACATTTAAAAATTCTCCTTTCATTTCGAAAGAGAGAGCAAAAATTGACTTATTGTCAGAACATATTTTTGGCTAGAAACAACCAAAACTTCAAAAGGATCTGGAAAATGTAAAAGAAAAAAGTCATAAAATTAGAGAATAATTAAATTTGAGAGATAAGAGATTCCTAAATAATTTCCTAGAAAATAAAAAATTTTGAAGAAAAATGAAAATCTTTTTCATACAGCGGGAATCGAACACACCCTATATTACAAGGGAAATCTAATACAGAACCCACTACACCACAAAAATTATTAAAAGAAAAACAGAGTGAAACTAAAGAATCAATTAAAAGAATATTTAAATCTAAAAAAAGCTGAAAAATTGAACAAAATACGAAAAATATTAAACCCAAAAAAATAAATAATAAAAAATTTTTATTTTTTTTAAGGATTGCCATAGGTAAAAAATCTAAAAAATATTTATCAATTGTTGAAGATTTTTAACCTTATAAAAATTCGAAATTTAAATCTATTTTTATTTTTAGAAAATTAAATTTTTAAAAACCTTATTAATTTACACATATTTTTTTTATTATTATACCCAATTATTAAATTTATAATAGTTTATTTAATTCTTTTTTATTTTTAAAAAATACATTTTTTTCCTTAATTATTTGTTCATACACAAACAATTTCCTTTATTTAAGTCAAAAAAGATTCACTATTCACGTAAAAAGCAAAATAAACTAAATTTTTGTCTACCTTCCTTCTAATTTTATCTTTCTACTCATTTAAATTTTTTTTTACAGAACAAAAACTTGTCAAAACTCAAAAAAATAATTTAGATTAGAAAATTGACATTTCATCCCAAAAAATCTTTAATCAATTTTTTGCAAAAAACAGACTCTGAATTTAAATTTCGATTTTATTTTCATTCTCTTTATTTTAATATGTTACATTAAAAAATTTTTTTAACCCTCAAAAAAATGTGAATCATTATAACCCCTAATTTTGAAAAAAGAAAAATTACTTCAACATTTAATATATTTACCGCAATCAAGGCAAAAATAAATTAGAGAGAAGATTTTTTAGAGAGGTTTTTGTGTGTGTCAATATTATCAACAAAAATTTTTTTTATTGCTGACAAAATTTTTTTTTGAAAAAAAAGTTGAGAGAAGAGAACCTTAATGAACGTATTGGCTCGTCCTTGTGCGCTTGAAACATGTGAACATTGTTGAAATTTGGCTGCCAATATTTAACAAAACCATCGTGATCAGCTGAAGCAAGCCATTGATCATTATGTGACCATTTCATTGCACGAATAGCAACATCGTGGGCCTTGAAAAAAAATTAAAATTTAAAAATTAATGAAAGAAATTTGTTAAGTTAATGACACAGAGTACACTTCATTGTACTGCCGCCAAAAATTTTTATTATATTGGCGAGGAAGTTTTTCCGTGAACGGGGGATGTGGGTGTCACGGAATAACTTACTCGCCGAAATAATAAAAATTTTTGGCGGCGGTATAATAGCATGCTCCCGACACAAGAGGGTGTCAGATAAAACCAAACTAAAGTAACCAATTGGACCTGGCTTTTAATTGAGGGTTATGCTTAAAAATAACTATAGAATCGCTTACAAGGAACCATCGTTTACTGTGACTGCGAATTTCCTAAATTTTTTGGTACCATTCGATAGAGCACAATCGATTTAGTATTGTGGCGCTATCCGTTTTCTTGCAAAATTAGTTTGGGCCGAGTTATGGCCGTTCAAAGTTTCAGTTCTTGGGAGTGTTGAGTATAATGAAAAAAGCTAAAAGAAGCGCGCTGTTACTTTTTTCCACTCTCTCTGCTTTCTTCACATTGTCTTACAAAGAGGAAAAAGGAATGCAAGAGGCGCGAGGAAAAAAAGAAGAGAGAAAAATGTAAGACACAATAAACAAAGAGAAGAGGCGTGGCTTGGCTCTTTGAGGATGAAAAATAAGAGAGAAATTGTTTATTTACCCTATAACTTCAGACTCTAGCGTTCAACTTTGAACGGCCATAACTCGGCCCAAACTAATTTTGCAAGAAAACGGTTAGCGCCACAATACTAAGTCGAGGGTCCTCTATCGAATGGTACCAAAAAATTCATCAAATTCGCAGTCACAGTAAACGATGGTTCCTTGTTAGATGGAAAAATAAAAAATTTTGTTAGCCTTATAAAAATGGCTATATTGGCGTACGAATCCTACAATTAGACGTTTCACAGAGATCTGGAAGTCGCCACAAACCCATTTCGTCAAGAACTATAAATCATTCAAGATTTTTGTACAATTTTTGATAGTCTGGACACGAAAATTTTGAAGGATACAGCCTGAAAGTAGTTCGTAGCAAATCGGGGATGTCTTATATTCAAATTAAGTCCCATGACCGGTACAAAAAATAAAAACCCTTTATGACAACAAACCTCAAAGACTTAAAATAGATTATTTAAAAACCTGTAATATAGTTTCAAAATTAAAAGCAGTTCCATTCCACAAAGTAAATTCTCCAGACGAAGCTCCAGTAATTAAACGTTTCCCTTCTGGCGTCCAACAAAGAGAATAAACTGGACATTTAACCTTATTCATTGCAGAGCGTACAAATTTAGTTAAAACACAATCAACAGGAATATCTGGCATTGAGGCAGGAGGAAGAACATAATTTTGATAGAGAATATCTGGTTGAGTAACTGTTCGGTTAAAACGAGAATGTTGCCATAAACGGCCCTTCAAAAAAGAATTTTTATGAAAAAAATTAGAAAGGGGCAAAACCCTGTGGATTAAGGTTGTCGGGTAGTTGGAAATCTTCGGATCCGATATCCGAACCGAAAATTTTCCGGATATCCGGCTTTTTTTCAGATCCGGTTCCGACAACCTTACTGTGGACCATTAACAAGGAATCGATCAATTTGAGTAAATTGGAAGGACTGATTAAAGGAAGAAAGGAAAAGAAGACGGAAAAATGAAAAATCGTGAATTTATTGAGTGAAAGAAAACTAACAGTTCAAAAACAAAGGACCCATTACTCCAATAGGTAGGAGTAATCGAAACCCCGATCATTTTTAGAACAAAAAAACAAACAAGGGGAAATTTGTGAAAACCTAAATAAACGATTCTCAAAAATTATGATAACCGACATGTTCAATAGGAAAATTAACATAAAAACACAACGAAAATCGATTAATAATAAATATATAACTAGGGAAGGTTGCGAGGTGTCCGAGCTAAAAACGGTCGAGACCGAGCATATTCTCTACCGAATGAGCCCGGTCTCGACCGTTTTTAGTCGGACACCTCGCAACCTTCCCTAGTAAAGGTAAAAGCAGGCGTGTAAACTAATTGTAATTAATACCCGCAAGTCAGAACTAGAAAAGGAAAACCATAAAAGGGCCAAATATTGGGAATGAAAAGGGAACGCCTTAAACTTGATGGCCCGTACAAATAGGTCACCCCTTGTTTTAATTTAAGATTTAAAAACCTCAACGTGGTTAAGCACATTAGCAACATAATCAATATGTTTTCTGACATTCGCAACATTTTTTCTCAATCTTCTACCAGGGCCTTCAGGTATATCATCAATTGGACGATTCTAAGGAATAAAAAAATGAACTCATTCTTTACTTAAAATTTAAAACCGTTGCAGCTTTAAATCGAAATGCTTGTTTTGATTGTGTAGGTTGGGTTGAAGCAAAATCAAATTTTAAAGGTGACTCATCTTGAGGGTCTATTGATTTTATCACAGGGCTGGATTCGGCTGGTGGAGCTTAAATTTAAAAGAGAATCTCATTAAAATTACCAAAATTAAAGAAAACCTTCCATTGAAGTCGAAGCTCGTTGTTGAAATACTTGTTGATGCATATGTGGAGTTGAAAATGTAGCAAGCATATCAAAACAATAGCTTAAAATTTGGACTGAAAAATTTTAAAAAATAGTAAAAGCAAAGGTAGATACTATAGACCGGCGCGGGACGAGATCCCAACGGGATTTTCCGGGATTCCGATCCCGAAATCCCGGATTTTTTTTGATTTTCAGGATCACACGGGATCCAGGATTTTTTCGGGATTTCTCCCTCGGAATCCCGTCCCGATATCGGTTAAGAAAAAAATCCCGACTCGGGATCTCGGAAGTTCGATTTTGCCGGTCTCTACTAGATACATGACGAAAAATAATAAAAAAATTTTCGAGAGTCGATTAAAAATCAAATTTAGGCTACAGCCCAAGTAGGCGCGCGTCCATAACGGCGCTAAGCCATAACTTGCTTTATGAATTCCGAATTTTCGAAATTTAGTATTAAACGATTCCTCTCATCGAGCTAAAGAGATTGGTACCAAAATCGTAAAAATTCATAAATTTTCTAGCAAGTTATGGCTTTGCGCCTAATTTGCCATGCGCCTAATTGGGCACACAAATTTCAATTAAAAATGATTTTAAGTGGTTTTGATAAACTCTGTTTTACTTTATTTGGGAATATAACTACTTGAGGAGATTTTGTGTATCACGAATACAACATAAAAATACCTAAACAGCAGAAATCTTAAAGGTTCGGTTTCGGATAAAAACAAAAATGGAAAGGTGTTTTTAAAGGGACACGCCCTCCTTGTCGCGGGCCACCTTGTCGCGACCACCTTGTCGCGACCACCTTGTCGCGACCACCTTGTCGCAGGCCACCTTGTCGCAGGCCCACCTTGTCGCAGGCCCACCTTGTCGCAAAGGTTGAAAATTTTTTATGCTGATATGGAGGGTATGGAGGGTAGGAAAAAGGCCTTCTGGGCACGATCGGGGTTTTCTGGAGTAATTTGGATCGGTTTTACTCTGTTAAAACTCCGGTAGACTTTAACCGGATAAGAGAAAGTAATAAAAGGAAAAAAAACACTCCTGGAAATTAACTAAAAAATTAAAAAAAAACCTAGAAAACAAAATAGAAATTCTAAACCTTCCATATTTCCAATCGTTGTAGCCGTGGGATGAAGTACGGCACGTGGCGAGTGAAGTTTAGGCCAGCCTTGAAATAAAAACCAAAGGAAAGCCTGCGACAAAGTGGCCTGCGACAAGGTGGGCCTGCGACAAGGTGGGCCTGCG